TTGAAAACCTAAACTTCTTAAATCTATAATTACTGACTATTTATAACATAAACTTTGCTACCATGAAGCGCCACTCTGCAGGCACTGCTAATTCAGCGAGGTAATATTACCAACCTGTCGGCTAAGCACGCTGAACTTAGAAAAGAAATAGAGGCTTTAACAACAAAGTTAGCTTGCTTGGAAAAAGTAAGTTGTACCAAAGTTATTTCTAAAAGATGTAATGAACCTTTTCGGTCAACCATTTATTAAAAATGAAAATAATAACAAACCTTATTTACCCCCTCCAACTTCTAGATGGACTTTGTTTTGAAATAGAGGAGGTTATCGATGACTGCCTTATATAAAAAGACCACTGTAGGCTTAACAGATAGTAGTACTAACAATACCAACAACATTAATTATATATATAATGAAAGCTGTAACTACAGTAAAAAATGGGAGTTTAAAAACGACAATAACAGTAATGCTAATAATAATAACTTTACTAATAGTAAAATTTTTAACAATACAAAACTATTAACTCTAATAATAACAGGTCTAATCAAGTCTTTGAAACCTTTTCCAAAGAAGAATTAAGATGGAAATATAACTATGCTAGTTGTGGTAACACTACCAATAAAAATAGTAATACCCCTAATAGTATAAACCATACCAAAACTAATATTTGCAACAGTATTGATAACCATAACGTTCATAATAATAAATCTCCTATGAGCAACTAGTCTAAAATTGATAGAATACCTCTGATTATAATACGTAACAAACCAGTTTGAGGATTTGTTAGACAACAATTCTCTAAAGCAAAATAGATATAAAAAGTGCAAAAGATCCAAGACGGCGGAATTAGTGTGAACGTAGTCTCCGCGGACAACTATTAAAACTGACACATACTCTTGACGGAAACTGCTGAAAATATTATGCATACCAGTTGCCTAGGAGAAAAGAGATTAAAGTGGTAATTCGCGGTATTTCCGCAGAGATAGATATGGAAACTGTAAAGGTAGATCTTATGTCTCATGGGTTTCAACCCGTCTGAAGCAATTAGAACGCGCTCGTTTAGAAAGGAGAGACAACCTCTGCCTCTTTTACTCGTCAAGCTACCTAGATGCGAAGCAAGAATCTATGACTTAAAAAGTATAGGGTATAGCGCTGTGTCGGTAAACCCCTAAAAAGAAGAGGGAGAATTGAGCAGTGCCATAAGTGTCAAATATTTGGACATACAAAGGAATACTGTAAGTCAAGCTAAAGCGGTGGTCCTCACGAGTCGAACTCCTGCACTAAAAGCAAGAATGAAAGCCTTCCTGAACCAAATGCTAAGGGGAGCATACTTAAAATTATAAAGGATGCATATACTACTCGGAAAATGCACCTATGAGAAAAATTTATAAAAAAGATTTCAACTAAAACTTCCAAGAGCTCTGAAAGTTTCGTTGAAGAGATATAAGCTACGCAAAGCGTATTAAACTGAACTTATCACCTGAAGCAACTAATACAGCTCCCTTAAACGACATGATGAATAACTTTGTAGCAACTTATCAAAGCGATTAACTCTCATCTGACGAAGGCCATAACGAAGTTATTTCAAAATTTAAATAATTAAAAAGTTGAATAAATCGAGTCTAACTCTTAGTTCTTTAAGGATTTTGGCATGGGATCCAACGGTATTCGATGCAAGAAGCAAGAACTACAGGAACTTATTGGCTTAATGAACTTAAACATAATTTCCATTTTTGAACAAATTTGAAGGAAGGTAATGGATTGACAGGTGTGACAGGGGAGATACTGGAGGAGGAGGCGTATCCGTCCTAATTAAAAAAAACATTATCTACCAATCGCTCTATTTTTTCGACCTGGTACGTTTAAAAGCTGTCGGCGTGAATATAGAGCTCTGGCACAATGGAAAATTGATATAATTGCTGCTTATTAATCACTGATAAGGTTACCCACAAAATTGATGTTGATAACATTTTGCGAACTCTTCCAGGATCTTAATGACTGAAGATTTAAACTGTAAAAGCCCTTTGTGATATAGCAGGAGGGAGCACGCCAATGGAAAGAGGTTTGCCGAAGTAGTCAACGGAAAAAGTTTAATTTTTATTGGTTCAAAGGATACAACGCATCGCCCAGTCAAAGGGGCTTGTAACTTTTTAGATTATCACAGTAACACAAAATATCTACGAACCCGTCATCGTCAATACGCTATTCGAAACCTCTTTTGAATCATAACTCCATACCCATAGAAATAGGTAATAAGTCGGCCTCGAGCACTTGGGTTAAAAGATTATTAGTCGGCCAACATTTCTGGCTCACTTAGAAAAAGCTGAGACACCATGGCGCACACCACTGAGAAAGCCCCTGATTCAGACTTGGCAGTTGGGCAGGAGGTGCTATAAAGGAAGCCTAGAGTAGGTCCACTTCACTAAAAGAACGCCAAAACCAGCAATATGACCTTCCAGACCATATCAGATCGCTGATTAAGTGAAGGTGAAAGTTGAGGGGAAGATATATGAACTCTTGCTTCCAAGGAGATAAATAACTTTACAACAAGAATTAACTCTCGAGTTAAAGAGAAATTAAAAGCTTGATTTAACGAGAGCTGAAAAAATAAATGTCTTCTGGGCCAGAAAATAATTCCCTACGGAAATTAACAAAGGCCATGAGACTGAGGATATAACACTGTTATCTATGACGCAGGACACCCAGCGACGAAGCCCTTCGAAATAGTAGAGGCATATGCTGACTTAATGGCATCCCACCCAACTATAATCCAACCATAATGAACACCATTCAAAGCACGCGTCCATTATAGTTACTGCTTGCCTTCTAAGACCTAAGTATGTAACTAAGTTAAACTTACCATCAGTGAGGAACTTATTACTTGTATCCAAACCCTTAATGCAAGGTAAGCCTCGGATTCTGATGGTATTTCTAATTTAATGCTTGAAAACTTAACTCCAGGAACTATTTCTCTGATTTCTTAAAATTAATTAGTCAAATACTTGCCGCTGCCTATTTCCCAAACGGTAGAAATTAGAAAATGTAATTTTATACCTAAACTAGGACCTCTAGCTGTTTTTTTCCCCCAATAACCTTGTTGTCCTGCCTAGGAAAATGACAGAAGCCGCACCCATTTTAGGTAACAAGAATTTGTAGGTATTATGTTCGTTTTGCCTAACTTTCAATTTGGAATTCGAAAAAACTACTTCCCAAATCACCAGATACACAACTTAAAAAAGAAACTACGAAAGCTTTAACAATAGGAAAGTAACAAGTGTTGTATTTTTAGATATTGAAAAAGCTTCTGATAAAATGTAACACGATGGTCTAGCCTCCAAAATGGTTACCGCTAGTTTCCCTTTTTACCTAACTACGGTAGTAAGCTCAAATATTACAGATTAAAGTCAGCTATTACAAAATAAAAAAAAATGGGCGCCCCATAAGGCCACTTATTATCCTCTTTACTTTTTTTCTAATTACATGTCCTATATGTCACATACGTCAAATATAATACTTAACCCAGTACGCTAGTGACAACCTTATTTTATAGTTACAAATCTGCCTAAATGATGTTTAAAAAATAGTCTTATTAAACAGTACTGGAGGCATGATTTTCAACATGGAGGTTTGTAATGTACTCGGCGATAGCTTTAATATAACAAGAAGGAGACTACTTCCTCCGATCCCTAGTCTCATTAAACCATACTGTCATCCCTCGAAGGAAGGGAGACTCCACATCCTTCTTACATCGTTTCTAAAACCAAGCTATGATCGTCTTGTATCCCTTATTATGCATGAAAAGAAAACTGTATTTAAAGACAAGCTTCTGTTATACAAATCGTTATGCGCCCCTGATGGTTTATACCTCTATCGCCTGGGACTACTCCTCGAGCAAACATATACATCGACTATAAATACAACAAAATCGCGTTCTGAGGATGGGGGTGAATTCCCCTTAATCTGTGCGCAACAGCCAACTACTTAGAGAGTGTAACCTCGAGCTTATTCAAAAATATTGTAAACTTTTAAGGAACTGGCTTACTGAGCTGGTAGCCTCGTAACATAATAACTAGGCAGGCACTTGAGTTATGACTCCTATTGGTACACCAATTACCAGCGGCCAAAGCATTTCCTAGATCTATTAGAGGGGGGATATGGCTGATTATAGCTTATTTTATTAGCCTATTAATATATATTTATATATATATATTTCTAATAATATAAAGGTATGAAAACAACTATTTTATTACATGTAATATAGTTATTACTTTGTCATTACGTCTTTATTTATGTACATGAGTTAGCTAAAGCGTATCTGTTCTTCTGAGTGAAGATACAATGAATAGTCAGAGGGTTGAGGCATCGCACCCTCAATAAATAGAGGGAAAGCAGGTTAAGCAGCAATGGACGGTAGATCAAGCCTATAGCAAGCCAGTGCTATAAAAAAAAAAGGACAAAAACTTTTTAACTTACTAAAACTTATACAATCAAAAATAAGGACTGAAAGGTAGGACCGCATCTAATTTAAAAAAAAGTATCAATCGGCTGATAATTCAAGAGAGTCTAACGCTCCATAGATATATAGTCGTTTAAAAAATTATCATATATTACAACATTTATCAAGTTTATGTCGCTTCTATTCTTCTAAGTTCAAGTAGATATTATTGTAGCGGAGCTGCACGTGCTAAAAGATAGTTATATGCTTTTTAACACATCATTATAGCATGAGTTCATGTTTCCTTCTTATCACTTTGCCTCTACGCGTTTTAAGGCAGTTTTATCACTGTATGCAAGTTACTCCTCAACTGTCGATGCATCAGTTAAACTTTCACTTGTTGGCTTAAAATTAAATCATAGAGCAAGAGGAATAGAAAAATTTTCTTTAAGCGATAAATTAAAAGGAAGTAAAACTATTAGTTTGTTTGATAATGTAGAAAGTACCACGAAAGTTACTAAGAAAATTGCAAACTACAATAAACCTATAATAATTGGGTGTAAAAATAATAGGGTTATTAGATCAACCAAGTGTTATAAATTACTTTCTAATAAAGTTGAAATCAATCACGCCTTTAAGTTGCTGACGGCTTTTGTTCGTCCTGTGCGAATAAAAGATTCTTTAGAAGAGATAAGAGCCCCTGGTACTTTTTTACAGCAGTTCACTTCTTTTTAATTTTTTTATACTTTTATTCCTAAAGCATGTTATGTTTCAAGATTTACATCATCTTTTATATTTTTAAAAAGGAAGTACGGTAGAGTTTTTTTTATCAATATATTTTATATAAATTAGGAAAGTTAAGTTATCATAAAGAAAAGCGCCGTAACTTTCTTAACTTTTTAAAAACCCAAGTAAGAAAAGGTTATCGAATATAATCTTTTCACCTTCATTGTGTTGTTAATATGTATGAGTTTTATGAAGGCGCTTTAAAAACTAAAGAAAATTTTGTAGAAATGTTTAGACAAGCCACACTCCAAGATTTGGGAGGTATTGCTCTATTTTATATCAAGTTTATTTACAAACTTTTATGTTATGTACTTCTTTTAGGAGTTTAATGATTTTTGTGATATTTTTATATATACAGCGGAAACTGTAGTTTGGCTTTTGTCCTACTTTTATCAATATTCAACTTTTAAACCAGGTAACAATGACCCAGCGCCATAACTTGCTGCTGTTACCACTAAGTTAGTAAAATTTGTACGTTCGCCTTTTAAACAGTTGTGTATACCTTATTTTTATAAATTTAATTTGTTATTTTGTACAGTTACTCATTTTTTTAATAATTCTTATAAAGGTTCATATCGTTATTATGAAACATTATAAATTATTTATTTGTACTTATAAAGTTTTAACATAAATTTAAATTTACATATTATGTTACAGACTCCACGGTCTACGGCATACTCATCGCTTATTTGTCCAAAACGAGCCACTTTTCACAAGTACTGTACCTCCTTCAAGTTATGAAAGAAAAAGATATAAAAATGAACGAAGTTTTGTATACCAATGCAATGGTTGCCTGCCTTCACGGTATTTATAAGCTTATAATTTTGGGGTTGGTAATTCTCTATTTTTTTTTGGTGATTAAAGGAAATAATTATGAAGGCGCCTTGCAACTTTTTGAGGAGGCCCGTCAATGTCCTGATATTCAGTTGAATCATTTTCTTTATACTAATGCACTTGTTGCTTTTATGCGAAGTTTCTCTTTTTTTTTAACCTTTATAACGTTCCGCTTTTATAAAAGTTGCTTAACAGGCGGACAATACCAAAAAGCTCTGGACGTATACGAACAAATGAAGCAGAATTCTTTGCAAATCAGTGCTTTTTATTTTTATTATTTTTACACCTAATGTTGATCAGTGGTGTATAGACAAAGTAACAGCCTCTAACGTGGCTCTGGCCCATGCAAGGTTTGTTGGATAGTAATATTAAACAGTAAAAATATTGAATAAGTTTAATATATTAAGAATGGGAAATTGGAAGGCTGCTTTAAACTTTCTCATTGAGTGCAAGTCTGGCAACGCCTTTGAGGTAGATGAAGCCTTCTATAATATTGCTGTGCACGTATGCTCGATAGGTAAACTATTTTTATTATTGCTATTCTAATCTCGATTATCCTTTTTTTAGGGAAACGTTCTGATTATGCTAAACTTCTAATTAATCAAATGGAACAAAAAAAAATAACACCGACAATTATAACTTATACTGGTTTTAAAGCTTCTAAGCAAATTTTTCTGTTTTTACATTTTTAATTAACTAAAGGGCTTTTGCAGTGTTTTATCAACGAAAATAATTTTAAAGCATCTCTAAAACTTTTTGAAGCCATAGAAAAATCAACTCAAGTTTGTTATATAATTTTTAATTTACTACATTTTTCGTATTTTTATTAGATATCACTGGATGTAAAATTTGTCAATACTTTTTTGGAATTCTGTAGACATAGAGAATATTGGAAAGTCAGCTATGATATATTTAAGCGCGTACTATCAAGGAAACCAAGTTGCACGCCGAACAGTAATTATTCTTTGCAGCCCACCAAAGTCTCCTTCTCACTCGTACTTTCGGCCTGCGCAAAGGCCAAAAGAAGTGACGCAGTAGAAAAGATTCAAAATTATATAAAGTTGCGCTATAAAAAAAAATAAAATTTGTGCTCAAGTAAAAGCTTACAATAATTATATTTGCAATTTTTTTTTAAATTCTACTTTAAAACAGTTTAATATTTTAAAATCTTACAACTTTTATTTTTAAAGTAAAATTTTTTAATAATTTTATGTTTATACAGTCAAACATAAAAAATTATATAAATTTTTAATATCTAGAGTTTAAAAAATATTTAATTACCGTTAACGGATTACAACAGTAAAAATCTTGCAACGTTTATATTTATAAATTTTAATTTATAACATTTTACTTTGAGTTAAACATTAAAATCTTACAACTTTTTTAGTTACAAAATTTTATTCTTAGTTCTACATTTTACATAATGTAAAACATTTGAAAACTCACAGCTTTTTAAAATAAAATTATAAATTTTATTACCAATTTCATTTTATTACATTTAAACAATTAAAATCTTACAACTTTATTATATTTAATGTTTTTATTTACAGTTCTACCTTAACACAGGATTTTATAATCATCTTTTTTCTACCTTGCCATAGTTAAACAGTGAAGTAGTCGGGCGCTCCTTTTTCTTATATCTTGTGAGAGGTTTAGGTGTCGCCGCCGTAATTCCACTTTTTTTAACCGAAAAGACAAAAAAAATTTATAAATTACTTGTCGTGTGGAAATTTCGTTGATGAATAAAAGGTAATTTTTCAATAATTTATTAATTATAGCCGCGCCTACGAATTATAATTTAGGTATATGAGTCGCACAAGATTTAAATAAACACAGATTTACAATAAACTTATTTGTGCTCTAGTAATGATTTTTAGCATTAAAAAGTAAAGTTATAAATAAGATGGATACGAGTGGTTCATAAAAGCCCCCATGAAAATTTTTTTTAAAGAAAATTGTAGCGGGGCTGTATTATCAAAATTAAAAAAAAAAAGCAATAAAAATAGTTTAGGCGGGACCAGCCAAGCTGCTAGACAAAAAAAGCTTTCTAAGTAATGTTACAAAAAGTAACTGAACGATTTAGAATGTTGAGTTAGAATCTCGTACGTAGGATTTCACCCGATTTTAGCTATAAGGCCCAAAGCAAAAGATAGCTGTCAAAGAAAAACAGCGAATCTGTAAAATCTTAATATTTTTAATTAAGATATATTATTTTTTGACTGGAGTCTTTTAAGGAGTTGCAAGCCCGATTTAAAAAGGCTGTAGGTAGATTATGAGCTTTCATAAAAACTAAAGAAGTTATGCAGTTATGCTTGGTAAACTTAACAATTAAGAGTATGTGACTTTTTTTATAAAGCCACTCTAGGTCATTTTGTAAACCTACTTAGAGTACTAGTTTTAATAAAACTTTAAAACCATGTTCTAAATCTTCTGTTACGCAAACAATTTTTTTTTTAACTTTTTAGTAACTGAATCGTAAACTGCAACCTTTTAAATTCGCATTAATAACGAATGAAAATTGCAACTTAACGTTAATAAAAATATAATTACATTGAAATTAATAAAAATTTGATAATTTTTTTAAAAAATTCTTATGTAATCCGAAGAGCAAGGGTGAATTATTAACCAACGACGAGGTAGATGACTTAAAAAGAGATTTTTGTTTACACTTAATATGGTGTACAGCTGGTTTTTAGGAGCACGAACGCAGGAATAAAATGGGAATTCCAAAATTCCTTATTTTAAATTACTAGTAGTTAATGAGGCTTCCGTGAATTTAGTGTTGTGATCTATTTGTAAGGATCCAAGAAGAATGAGATTTTTCAACTGTTCGTCTGTTAATACTGGGCGATACTTATTTTTAATTAAATTTATAGTTGAAAATATATGCTCACACATATAAGTCGAGCTAAATTTAAATAAGAAGCGGCGCACAAATATATTTATATTTTGTAAATTTCGCTGGGGAGCAATATTTAAATCCAGGCCAACTTTCGATTGGTTGGGTTTCCAAGTATTTCCTTAAATTTCCCAGCAATGCAATGTGATTACGTAACTCTAAAACTTCTACTTTAGATGTGAGCTGAATAAATAGCAGCTTCAGTGGGTAAAACTGGAGAAGGGTATGTGAAAAGCTGCATATACTTAACATTTCTCTTGAAAATCTTTTAAATCTCTACTCAAACGATTGTTTCAAGAGTGAAACTTGTTTTTTAAACTTCGTGAGGTCTTGAATTTTTGTCTCTGCCATCAATCTTGCATTCGACTAAAATGGTGGTCTAGCTTTACCCAGATGCTCTTACAAGAGGGTCAGTTTAGATTTAAAAGAACGAATCAAACCGAGCAAGATTGGGAAAAAATAAGTTTTGCTTTGCAAACGCTTATTTAAATTATTTAAATTTAAGTGACCCATTATATCTGTCACAAAAGTAAACCCCACAACCAGTCTTTAGTTCTGAGAAGTGAGCACTCATCTGGGAGAACATCACCTTCTTATAAATATACCCCAAAACTAAATTTCTAAATTCCAAAACCTTTTCAGAACTTGCCTCAAGATAGGCAACGAACAGTAAAATGTAGTATTAATCATGCCGTGCTTTTCCTTTATATGAAACTTTGAGAAAATATGAGCGGAATCTCCCTCTATTAAGAGTTCTGCTCGAATGTGGTTGATCCATCTTATCACCTATCACAGGATTAAGAATAGAACAAAAGTTTATATCTATGGCAAAGAGAGCTTAATGAATAATTGCATTGGAATTTAGAAACTTCAAAATTGCTTCCAACAAACTTACAAAAACCTTATATCTTCCAGGTCATCGCTGCTCTATCTTACAACCCAATTAGCCCCATTTAATTGACGAACATCAATTACATTTTTAATTTCAGGAAAAACATCTCCTTTTTACCTAATTAGCTTCCCCGTATCTAGAAGTTCTTCTGTGATATCGAACTGTTCGCTGACACAACGCATAAAAATGCACAATTGTACAGTGTCAGTTACATTGCAGCGCAGCACTCGTCCGAAGGAGAGGAGTAGGAGAACTTGGTCTTATGTTGAAGTATTTGTTTACCAAAATCATTTGCCATTTAATCGATCTTCTCATAACATTTCTTGAAAGGGCAATATCATCTATCATTCTTAAAATCTTAGATCTGCTACGGTTTTAGCAAGATTTTAAACATGGTTTCACTATAATTTCAGAGCAGAATAAAATCTTTTATTAGCAAGAAGAAGTGAAATTTCATAAGACACTTTGACCATAATATTTTGCTAAGCAGTAGCTTTCTTGAAAAATGATCATTGATTAGACAGTGGTTATTTCTTTTGCTAATGAAATCTCCAACTCTGAATATATGGGATAGTTTGTATTAATATCAAAATGAATTTGATTAAAATACCGTTATAACTTAAAATATTTTTGCCAGGGCTATACAGACATTACCACTGAGACATACCGGCTTAGAACCAACGGCAGACAAATTTTGTTGCACGCACATTCGACGATAAATTCGCGAAGAGCAATATGCATTTTGATACATTCTTTTCCCAGCTGAAGTAAACGTCTTACTTAGACTCATGGGGCTACAAGTGTACTACTAAGTATCTATTAATATTAATAAAAAAAGGAAAGTCGATTTATAACCGCCAAAATGAAAGATAGAGTGCAGCACCTACCCAATGGTCACGCACTCGGTACACGGGTGTGTATGTCACCGCAATGAGTGAGAGGGCGAGGAGGAAGTCGCAGGCAGCAGGTTGGCCGCCGATGGTCTAAATTATAATAAGCGACACTGACATCTTCCTTACAGTTTTTAATGAAATACCTATTAGAAGAATTACAAAAAATTCGTTGATGTCTACAATAATATTAGGGCGAATTTAAAGTTCATTTCCTCCAAAGCACCAAAATCCTTTTTTATTATTTTGCTTGGAGGATTTTCACCTTCCTCATTATCTTGAAGTCCAATTTTCCCATATATTATATTTTCCAATATAATATAATTTACGTTCAGTATTTTCAGATAACTTATCTTTAATAATCACCAAATCCTCTTAATTGATGCCTGGTTATTTTACTGATATCGGAACATCTAATTTTGGTTCCAAGCTCGGGCTGTCATCTCTGGACGAAATTTTATCTTGAAGAGTCTCTGTTTTCTCTTAGTTAAACCTTACAACTACTTTCCAAATTATAAGTTAAGATATAGTATTATCTAATGTTAGGCAACGGATAAAAAGCCACTTTTCAAGTAGCACTATCAACAGGAATAGTTAAATTCCTATTGCTAACGTTTATTTACCGTGCAGTTACACGGAAAACCATTAAAATTTATAAATTAAGTGTGAATAGGAAAGGGGTAAGAAATAAAAATCGAAAGTTTGGTTTAGAGTTAAATTGCATGCAATATAGCATATATCATAAAATTATAAACTATTGTTTTGCTTTTAGATAAAGCAACGCAATTAACATGATTTTTTGACCAATTTTTTATAACAAAAAAATATTTTATGCCTGATTAGATTCTTCAAAGGAAGTTAGTATTTCGAAGGGGCGGTCAGAATTAGAACTTAAGTAAATATAAAAAGAACTTTATTCATTATAAGTCAAACGTCGGCGTATAGGAAAGAAATAATCTTTTGCCTCCTCAAATGCTCTATAGTACAATAAATCTCTTTGATTATGATCTAAATATTTTAGTAAAGCACTAATGTCCGGATAATACTTATTAATTGCTCTGTTAAAAGCGTTTGTGCCCACAAGCTCACTTGTAGGAAACAGTGCTGCACCTGGAAGTTTACCTTTTAAAATGTCTCCGAAATAACCATCATTCTTTTTTAAGGCAGCAACTATATCTTCATTCAACTTTGAGAAAAAAGGGTTATTCACGTGGGAGGCGAACAATCGGTTAGATACCTGATACTTGGCTTCATTTTCCATCCAATTTTTAGTAGGTAAACTAAGTAATACATCTGTTACTCTAGCTTTATAGTTTTTTCGTAATGATATAGCTAGTGGTTCTGAAAAGAAGTGTACGAAAAGGCCTCCCTTTTCTTTAATTATTTGGTATTGCATAATGTTGTAGGCAACGTTAGGGAAGTTGTTTAATCTAGCTGCTTCATAAAATTCACCTAATTCACTGCGAAAGAAATTAGCAAAACTTGGATCTGTTCTCACATTGTTCCATGTAAATAATCTTCTTATAGACATATAATTAAAGAATTCATGAGTTAGTGCATCAGAGATGTCGTAATGAATTATAACATTAGGTACATTAAGATATGCGTCTATAATTCTTTTAAAAGTCAAATCGTGGACAAAAAGATTAACTGTTTTGGGTATTTTTGAAAGGAGAAGAGGTACTCTGGGTAGTAAAGGAAGCCTTACTAATTCTAAAGTTTTTGAAGGTGATTCTAGAGGAATTGAAGCTCTGTTCTCTATAAATTTCCATTCTTCACCTTCTTTAAATAAGTAACTTAATCGTTTTATACTGCCCCCATCTACCTTTTCATATGTTGTCCAGCATTTTAAATCAACGTCATAAAGGACTTTGGTCTCTCTCTCTCTAATTTTAAGATAACAATAATTTCTAGAATAAAATGTTTTTTTAACAATGACCCCGTCCAAAGGAACCGAAACTAATCTTCCTGAACAGTAATTTATCAAATCTGATGATA